GGGACAGCTGAGGCTGGGAGCAGACAGACAGACAGACAGACAGACAGACAGACAGACAGACAGACAGACAGACAGACAGACAGACAGACAGACAGACAGACAGACAGACCCTCTTTCCACCCTACCACCCTGAGATACTTGTCTATCAATAGTTCGTCTCCAGCCAGACACAAACACCTCCTTCCCAAACACGGCTATTCCAAATCATTCTACAGCACAATGGACTGTCTTATAACACAGACATATGAAACTCTTCCGTTTCCGTTTTGGTCTTTAACATTTGGCTCGCCAGATGACAGATTACCATAATTGTTGGTAAAACACTAATTGTGCTGGCACACCCATCTTCTGCACTTGCATCTGCTTCGAAGAGGACAAAAAAATGTCGCGAGTTATAGCGGTTATAACTGATTGTTGTCATCATCATCATCATCAAGGCCTCTTTGAGCACTGCTTGTGCTAGGTAGCAGATCTTGTACACTGAATGCACTGCCTCCCAAATCAGAGTCTGCATGCTCCCTAGAAATATCACTACTACTGGCAGCAATACTTTCAGCAGCAGGACTAACAACATCCCCATTGATATTTTCTGTCACTGCACTCACATTCTCGACGTCAGTGTTAACACAAGCATCACCTGGCACAATTTCTGAACTTTCAGTGGCACGCACAGAAGATCCAGCACCAGAGCTTACACCCACACTATGACCACTTTCACTAGCAGAGCCACTGTTCTGTTGCAGCTCCATCTCCATGTTTTCTCCACCAGTCAAGTGAGAGCTGTCACCACCAGCATGGGGGCTCCTCCTCGTCCCACTAGGTCCTGCCTCACTCACGTCTGCTACACCATTCCCCACTACTCCGCCAGCACCAGCATCACCCACACTGCCACTTACTGCACCACTTGACTGAGCACCAGAACTTGAGCTTCCAGGAAGGACTATATCGTCATTTTCATCACTGTCGTCTTCATCAGGACTGGGTTGTTGAAGCAGGGAGGAGATGTGACCGACTGTGAGTTCTACACCTTCCTCCTCGTCTCTCAGCCCAGACTTGGAATTACGCAGTGTCTTCACCATGTGGAAGATCCTCTCTTCTATTGTGCCCCGCACCAAGAAACGGTGGATCTTTGTCTGCCTGCAAGGGCAAGGTGGGGGTAGTAAAAAAAAGATTTCATTACATCAACCTGAACAACAAGTCACTTGTCTACAGAAAGCATGGTATTTGTAATAAAAGTGATACAAAATCAGAGTACAGTAAAAGCACTATTACAAAACATTGACGTCTTATTACAATAATAACAACTGGCCCTTCTATGTCTGACAATGACCAGCACATCCACAGAATATTTCTCAAGTGAAATAGAAGGATTAAAGGATAAGATGACTTGTGGCTTCTGCTGAGACGATGAGATCAATTTTGGAAGAGAAAAGTTTGCCACTGTCGCATTGACAACAATAATAATGATGATAACAATAATAATTGATATCCACGCTATACAGCTTTCTCTATGCACTTTGAAACAATTACTACCCCAGCAGACCATAGAACACTCAGAAACCTTCTTGGCTTCCTGGGAAGCATACAATGCAAGCAGCCAATTATACGTACTAAACACTAACAGACTTAGAAGATCTTTCACTGTTATTTTAGCTGGGTACATATTCCCTCCATGCGGAAGTATAAATAATTTTTGTAAAGTTCACATAACATCAAACCCATGACCTTATAGTTGAGAGTTTGAGAATCTACCACAACGCACACCTTGGCTTCATAAAGAAAGACGGACGAACCATATTTGAAAACTTGGCTTCATTACACAAATTAACACCCTACTCATTCAAGAATGTAGATAGTAATCCTCATCATCATTGCCTTTCTCACCCTGCACCAGGGTATGGGCCATGAATAAACACTTTCCACCTTTCTCTATCCTGGGCTACCCTCTTGAAGTTATTCCATGTCTTCCCACTTTTTTTTACATAGTTCCTGCTAATGCAGAAGCTCCTCCATCCCCCAAGATCGAAAAATAAAAAGCCGTGTTTGTCCGTGTTTCTGTAACTGACTGCTTTTACTGGGTTGGGTAGTTGGCCCTCTGCAAACTGGCTCTCAGCAGATAATGACTGATGACAATACCCAGGTGAACAAATAATGGACACAGCACAGCTACACAACACTACTTTTAGTTTTAGTAAGAGTTTTATGGCACTTGTAACACAATAAGATAACATAAGTGTCCAAGATTAGAGGTATTACAGGAGAGTCACAAACATACAAAAAAAGAAGAGATAAGGACGACAGACGTTTGATGGTAAAGAAGGAGCAAACCACACCAGAGTACCTGCCAACCACCCACTGCATGACACTTTGACCGACACTCACAAACGCAGCGAGGAACAGACCAGACAAGAGTTTAGTTAGTTTTAGTAGAGGTTTTACGGTGCTCGCAACTGCATAAGGTCATATGAGCGCCAAGGGGTGGATGTCAACAGAGAAATCCTTACAGAGAATCAGATCTACTCTGCTCACCTCTCTAGCTTCAACAGCACAAAAGTCTGCTTCGACTATCAAGGCACCCCGGAAAGAGCGGGTCACAAGAATGTGACAAACATACAAAAGAAGTAGAGGAAAATGATGATAGTAAGGATTAGGAAAGAAAAAGCAACAGTTCCCTGTTGTAGTTCAGGCAGAGTTATGAGCATGACATTGTTGGATCAGCCCATTTACAATTCTACATCTATGCATTAGAATGAGAAATGTCCCCCCTTTGGGAATGGCCTAAAGACACTTCAGTCAGTGGCACCGCCCCGGGGGGGTAGACAAGATAACAAGTGAACAGAGAGGCAACAAAGAGAAACACCAGCACACCTGGTCTGACCAATCCTGTAGACCCGTGAGATGGCCTGCGCCTCCTCCTCCAGGCTGAGGCCGGGCTCCACCAGCAGCACGTTGGAGGCCTCCACCAGGTTGAGCCCGTTGGCACCGCTGTGCAGGGGAAGCAGCAACACCTGCACCGCATCCTCAGACTTGAAGGCCGACAGATTCTTCTGTAAATCATTATAAATAAAACACTTTAGTTGGAGATATAGCCTACATTTTAAAAAAACAACAAAAGATATTAATACATTCCTTTCACTTCAACTCATGTAATGCAATATTAAACAAAGATATTTCTTTTTTTTTGGGGGGGGGGGGGGGAGGAGGGACAATGATGATAAACAATTTCATATAAATTATATATACAAAACTTGGCACACAACAAACAGAACAAGTTAAGGGGGGAAGCTACATTGAGAGTGATTTGATTAATTACCTGCATTTAAAGGATTTGAGGCATCATAGAAGGTTAACAAGGGGTTAATTTTGACATTTTGGTACAGTTTTACCACAGTTGTTTTCTTTTTGACTCTTTACTGGATCATTTAGGGGTCTCGGGTATCAAAATCATTACATAACAAAGAAGATAATATCTCCACTATCCTTTGTTGAAACTTCACAAAACTGCATGTGTGCATGGATAATACCCTGTGGCATGTATGTATAACAGGGTTTTACTGTAGATTCATTATTTTTCTGACAGTGGTGGTCGAAGTAAGTGCTCTGCTAGTCGTTTCAGCATTCACACCTTTTTCAAATTTTTCCCCCCAAAAACAGCAATGTAACTCATACAAAAATTAAGTAACTATCAAATCCTGTTATCAGAGCATAGCCATGGCACTTGTGAAAGTGTGTGCCAAATTGCAAGACAATCTGACAACTGGTTTCTGTGAAATGGCCTTCTTTGTAAACCCACCCCCCAAGAAAAAGCACGAGCTGAGAAAACGAGGAAAAAGTACAAAAATGCAAAAAATTGAACATCACAGGAAAATTTGATACTCCAATCATGCAAATTAGTAGAGTACATCCATTCACTGTTAGATTAACAAAAAAAACAACAACAAGCAACATAAAATGACTTCACACTACATGCATTTTGGTACTCACTGTTGAAAACATAATCCAATTTAGAAACCGCCAGCAGAGTACTGCTCTCCACCTTCTGCTTCAATAAGCCGCTGTTCCTCCCGAAGTTGCGCTGTTCTCCTGATGTCCCTCCTTCTCTTCGCAACACTTTCGTTAGCCTTTTCTGCCTTCCGTTTCCGAATAGAGTCTCTCTGGCCACCACACTTTCTGGTATTGACGCCAATGGTGAGTCCAAGTTCTTGGAGAAAGTAGTGTGTTGCCCGAGCGCCTTGGTTGAACTCACCCACTCCAAGTCCCACTGCAATTTCCAACCTCTGTCGGCCAACGAAAACATGCTTGGGACACCGCGCCCAGATGACAGAGTGAACACTTTCATTGGCGTTCTGAGTATTTCCACCTGTGCATCTGGACAACAGCTCGTCATCAGTCAGGCGGGTGTAGACAGGAATCATGTGCTCCGCAACAAACTCACTAATAAACGTCGACATGTGCTTGTCATGGTCAGGGTGCGGCAACCCCTTGGCCCTTGCCTTCTGGAAAAAACACCAGGATTGTGTACCTTTAGGGCAATCGTCGTGACGTGGCTTGGTGTTTGTCGATGAGCAATGGTAAAATGAAGCCCAGATTGCCGTCTTCATCTCAGCCACAGTGCTGTGTGAACGAACAGCTCTGATGTAATACTTCTGGAGCTTCCCAATCTTGGCCTGAGTCAGCTTGCCCTTTCCATGCCCCCCAAGGGTAACCTTCACCTTTTTCTTGTCCTCTACAAGCTTTCGAAGAGCCGTTCCAAGGCGCTTGGCGACGTGGTTCACGCACTCTTTCTTTTCAACTGTGACGTCGGCATATGGCTTGACTTCATTGATCTGCTTGATCGTGTTGGTATCTCCATCGCAGACCACACTCCGGTAACGGAAGCCCCTCTCTTCTGACCTCTGCCACAACATGACAGCCGCTTTCTGCTCCATACTGCCGGACGAGCCAGTGTGATTGCGGTCACACTCATCCTTGTGAGCAGCCCAAAATCGCTCATACGCCTCCCCTTCCAGGTGTGCCCCGACCGCCTTACACTTGTGGCAGTGTTTGCTCAACACTTGAAAATCAACGACGAGGCCAGTTCGGTTTTCTATGACGCAGCCGACTCCTGAATTCGAAGTGTGTCCCCGAGTGTGCCAACTGCCATCATAGGAAACGTCAATGTCCAGGACACCATTTCCTTCCTGCTCCGGATATGCTCTAGCGATAGCATCACGAGTATCCAAAAGAATTTTATCTGAGCTGGCCACTGACTGCTGATGAATTTTCTTCTGGTGATTTAGGTAAGTCTTGTGGTGGACAGTAGGCATATCCATGGCTTCACAAAACTTTGCCAGGCCAGCATAACCACTTCCATTCACCAACGAGGACACAATGACACGGCGATTCACAGTGAACACTTTGTCAGTCTTACCGGAGGTGTAGTTCATAGCGACGGCTTGCTCACAGGTTGTGCAGTAAATCTCCAGGAATACTGCTAGTCCGGATGTCTTCTTCGAATCACAGGTCAGTTTCAACGAAGCTGTCGTGCACTGGGGGCAGAGTAAATTCTCAAACAAGGGTCTCAGCGTTGCCAGCTCAACAACAGTGGAGCCCAGAAACTCAGAAGAAGCACTGTGTCTTTCAGCGTTATAGGCCAGCTTGCGTGATGACGCAGAGAGTGGAGTGCTTGGTACAGGAAGAGACGGGGCTGCTTCAGGTACTGATGAGGACGAAGACGAAGACGAAGGTGGCGGAGACCCAGATGTTGACACAGCTGGTGGCGCAACTTGAAACTCAGCACTCGACTCATCTTGAACTTTCTCAATCTGTCTTGCTGCTCGTGCCTTTTTCAAAGCCTCCTTTCGGCTTTTAGAAGTTCGACCACGTTTGCTCTCACTTCTTGAATGAGACTTTGTGGCAGGCATAGCGGACAATGGGCTGAGAAGGAAATAGAAAATACATCTTCGTAAGTATAATAATATCAAAATCAACATACAGTTGCTCAGCAACTTCCATAACGCGCGACTACCCCAACAAATACAATACAGGAGAGACCTAACCCTTACCCAACCCCTAACCCTACCCGTACCCCAACCCCTAACCATCACTTCTACACTGTTTCATAGTGGTAGCTCGTTATGGAATTCTTCCCGCAACGCTTTATGCCAATTCCCTATCTTGATACATATTCCAAGATAGTCATTGCATACAATACCTAACATCACAATGCTTGGGTGGTCTCTCAGTAAGAAATCACTCTGAATTTAGATTCTAGATCTAGATCTACTATGGATGGAGAATCTAACCTGCCCACCACTAAATTTTTATACTATAGTAATTTCCACTCTTCCGAACTACAGCACAAACATCACCTTATTTCATGGAGAAATAATAAAGCCCACAGTATAATCTCTAATTGGAATTCTAGATCTAGATCTAATCTAGTCTACGTGCAAAGCGCACACAAGACTCAACAATGCATAAATACGATAACACACTCACATGAAGTGCTCAACTCACAATTGTTGAATTGAAAGGCAGAGAGAAGATCGAGTCTGGGAGACAAGACAAGAAGTGGACAAACTGAGGCAATAGGAGAAACACAAATGGGGAAACTAGGTATTAGACAGATAAAATTAAGATCTACATTGGCATATATCATTATCAGAAGTGGTATTTTGACATTAGGACTTCGATATTCCGCGAGGTAGAGCAAAGACCACATGTAAACAAAAGCCATTCTCTGATTATCTTTGTTGTCGATAATCATCAACTTGTGGGAAGAAATTCTCAACAAAATTCAAGAATTGATCAATAAATCATATAATGTATGGATAGACTCATATATTTACTCACCTGAAAAGATGTTGTCACGTCTTGATATAAAAAAATAGCTTTGAGAACGTTGTTTTGCTGACCGCAGTTGAATGAGCATCTCCAGTACAGACAAAAATGGCCGATCAAATTCGCCGCCTCGCGTCCTCGCGGGGTGTTATGGGATTGAAGTTGCTACGATTACCGACGCCTCGACCAATCACCGATGCGCATTTAGCCGACGCCCCCAAACCAGCCAATGAAAATAAAGAATACATGTTCATTTCGGGAGCTTATTACTCGGGCTGGGTAATTCGTAGCCTAGTATCGATAAAACATTCGATCGGGCCTTGAAATGCCGATTGTGTCGATATGCGGATTGTGGGGTTTGGAAGCGTGGAAAAGCCAGTTGCTATGGAGGTTTTCAACCCGTTTTGCATTTTTTGAAGCAACTTTGGTCAGACCCCCACCTCCTCAAAAGCATTTTTTTGGCACTTTCTAGCCATTTTTCCAATTTAAGACCTAGTGGAATCGTTAGAGGGATTATTTTCCTGTCAGAAATGATAATAGCTCCAATATCGATATTTTCATGATTTGGACGATTTTTCGCCCCCCTCCTAGACCCGCGGAAGGCCTTAATTGACTGCTTACAGTAATCATACCATACCAGCTCAACAACATAAAAGTCATTGCAATTTTCGTCAGAGAGTGAACAATTTTTATGGAAACAACATTATACTTTAGATAGCAAATGCAGCTTATAAACACGTTATTGGGTTGACCGCAAACAAATTTTGTCTTATGAGAAAACAGACCTGAAAAGAGTTGGGATCGTGGAGGGACTTGTACATGATGTTGTTCTCAGCCAGAGCGGCAGCCAGGATGTCCAGAACACTTACCCACTGGGAACACAAAGAGTGGAGTCAAGAAATGCGTTAGCAGAACCCGCTATTATAAAATTGGGAATGAATGAAAAAGCTTTCGGCATGAAACCATTCATTCCTTTTCAAAACACTGTTTACCTGTCACATGAAAAGAAACTGCAATAAAACCCTGACAACATGAACCTAATGAGACCAGAAAATTTCTTCGTTTTAAGCAGATTCTATAATAAGAGAAGCTGCAATGTATAGAATACTGAGAGACATTTTTTTTAAACAAGTATTTGAAATCTTTTCACCAGAACAAGTATTTCATGTTAAACAGCTTCATGTAAATCAACCGAAGAAAGTCAAAGGCAGACTGTATAATACTAACAATCATGCTACACCTGCTAACTCATGACATGTTGACTGAAAAATTTTTCAGAGAGTATAAAATGTAAAATCAATTATCATGAAGTGACACATTTAATGTGTGACTATATCCGTGCCAACTTGATGAGAATCGTTCGGTCAGACAAAATGAAAAGACCCTTTTAGAAATCAGCGTTACAAATTAATATCTGGGAGACAAAAAAAATTTCAATCAAACAATGGAGAAACATAAAGTATGTATGGTAGCATTGTTGTGAAATCATGTGCTCGTCAAAATAGTGAAATGAAAGAAACGAACATTTTTCCGCCTGTTGGACAATTTTAATATAACTTTCTTTGGGTTTCAACACCTCGTACGTCCGTTTAAAAACAGATTTCTGCATGGATTTTACAGAAAAACATTAATCAAAGGTACAAAAAAAAACGTATTTGCAGTTTCGATAGACTCTCAAGTTTTGGAAGTGAGCTAACTTTGGCAGTTATTTTTTTGCTAATTCTACCAGGCAACCCCCACCACCCTCAATTGCAAATATCTCAATTTCTATTCAGGTAAGATGGGCATTTTGTTTTCATCAAAAGCAAGAGAAATGAACTAGTTTAAGATTATACCAATAACTTCAAATGCCCCAAAAATTGACCAGCCCCTGATTCCATCATGTTATGGAGACATTTATCACAGCATATCTTATGTACTCCCAGGCATTCTTACCGCAGAGAACACCAAGGACTTAGCATTTGGGGTGGCATCCTTGATCTTTATGAGACACTCAATAACCGCTTGCACTTTTGTCGAGTGGCTCCCCTGTGTAAAACAAAGAGGAGAAATGAACAAATAATCTGCGATTCAATTCAGATTTACAACGAAACTCTATGACAGGAGAGCTAGCAGGAATACAAAATGTGTAATCCAAAAACATAGCCCAGGACCACATTCTTAAACATACTGCAATCAAAACCAGAACTAGAGACTGGCAGACTGCATAACTAACTAATATAGCCCTTAGAGTAGAAATAGCCAAGTTCAGGACTGACAGTCATGGTCCAGAAGAGGATACTGGAAAAAGGAACAAAACAATCCAGGCAAGAGAGGTGATCCTGAGGTGAGCAAATTGTAGTAATAGAGAGATTTATTTCACGCCATGACACGATGTGATAAAAGTAACAGACTCAAATCAAAACCACATATCAGACACTGTTTGCACTTCTGCACTTCTCTGCAAACCGACTTCAGAAGACCTGCACTTTTTATGCTATGGCAAAATGACAAGTAAAGCAGGTGCAAGACATGGTAAGATCAGAAAATCAAAATAGGGAAAGAATGTCAGAAGTACAGTCTGAGAAGGTTAAAAAAGTACCATTAAAGAAGTCTGTGTGTACAAGCATTCTTGCAGGAATTCAAATACAAGTCACCATCATCATAGTTTTGTTTGTTGTGAGATAATAATAATAGGCCACCCAAAATTTCACACAGGTACAGACCATTCTCGATAAAGAGAATCTATTCCTATATTCTGAAAAAAAAAGAAAAGCTCCCAGCCCTCAGCGGGAACATCATCTCACCTTCACATTGACTTTCTCTGTCTTTTTGGTAGTGACGTACGAGATCTCCCGCACAGGTGTCCAGCTGCGGCACACCGGACACTTGAGTCGCTTGTCCTGGATGTTGCCACCAATCAAGTTGCGGTCAATCAGAGCCCGGATGCAGCGGAGGCAGTAACAGTGACCGCACATGAGTACACTCCACTGGGGGGTAAATGTGAGAGGAACATCGGTTAATACAGAAACAACTGACAAAACATTATACGTGTTTAGAATTTGATGGGCTTTGATAGGTACTCTTAACACATCCAATTTCTTTCTAATAATCATGCTGTTTGCTATCCAAGTCAAACATCTAGGCCATTCCTTGAAATAAGGTAAGATAAGCGACATTTCATTGTTGATCTACACAAAGAAAAATTTGCTGCAGCAGGCATTCCACATAAACACACACACACACACCCACACACACACACACGCACACATGCATATATGCACGAACAAACACTCACACACACACACACACACAAGGATGTATGCACGAACAAACAAACACACACACACACACACACACACACACACATACATGAATTGTTATTGAATGGATATACAAAATTATTTTACTTTCGCACCCCTGACAATGGCTGAATACTTTGTATTGATAAATAGCTTGTACTGAAATTTAGGTATCTTATACATGATATTTCATGTCACTGTAACCCAGCTCATCTAATGTACACAAAATACTTGTCTCTCAGAGCACTTACCTCCAGACCCAGCTCACACTGGCAAATAGGGCAACCGTCAATGTTGTGGTCTTTGCCTGCCTCATTCTATGGAAAATAAAGAAAAACACAATTACAAGCAATTTCCAAATCAACATGTCCGGGGAAAAAAGGAGTCTGTTCCTAGCTCATCACAAAAATAAAGAAACTCAGCAACATGACACTGGACAATTGGGGCTGGGGGGGAAAAGAGACCACCAGAGCGAAGCAACAAAAAGGTAGGCCTACTTGCTTTCCATTGACAGTTGTAGATTTGATACAACTTCTGAACCAACAAAGAAAAGACTGTTTCATCTTACTATAACATGTAACATTACAGCATCAACATGATGTTAAGATAGGGAAGTATTGTCCCCCCCCCCCCCCAACACACACACAGCAGAGAATTAGACAAAGAAAAAATGTACCTGAGAGGCCAAATTTGTGAGGTAGACAAGCTGCCCGAGTTTTTTCCTTAGTTCATCTCGGCTGACAATTTCATCAGAGGAGCACTTCAGTTCATGTTGTGTCATCTGGAGACAAACAATTCTATCTTTAGCATTCCAAAAACCATGAAGACACATTGTCCCAACATATCTTTTATTTGCTTTGTGCGACTGTTACAAACCTTATTCCTTCCTAAAAGTCACTATGAAAGTTTACTGCACAGATTATGACTTTCAACATTCCTGTTCTTGATATTATCCATTCTCTGTTGTAAATTCCATACTAATTCTTATTTAAGAAAATATCTTTTCAACAGTGCATTCATTTAAGGTTTATAGTTACAGATTAAATAACAACTGTAAAAAGTTGGGAAAAAGGAAGATCTAAAACCTATGATGCTGACCTCTCTTTCTTCAATAACATTAAGGATCTTGGTAGCTGCCTCTGGCTCAAAGTTCTTGCGGAGTCTCAGACGTTCCGTGGCCATCTCCAGTTCGTCAATGGCCGACACTTGCTCCCGGTGGGCCAGCCACATGGCACGCAGGTGCTAAATACACACAAGACAACACATTAACATAACTGATAATCATGAGCACTGATGTCCGATTTTCTTTTTTCATTTTCTCAGGTTTTGCCACTTGGATTCTACTGTGGGTCTTGGCTACCTATCCTTAAAATATTGTGACGGGGGTGGGGGTGGGGGTGGGGATACAGCAGAAGACAACAGAAATAGCCATTTCAAAGAAAGCAGTGAGAAGGAAGTACACAAATTTTCAAAGACAAAAGTTCAATTTCTCCTGTTACTTCAAAAGAGAATATCTGTGGTTCTTCCCTTCTTGTCTTCATATCACATGACAGCTGTTGTAGAAAACCAAGTATGGCTCCATCTGGTATGATGTTTTCACAACTAGTAATTTTTTAATGAAGACGCCCAGTATAAAATACAAAAATTCTATAGCAAGGCCAATTCTCACTTGATATAATATATCAAATTATCACTGTCACTGCAGAAAGAAAATGCTGAAGCACAATATTTTATATCATCCATAGTTTCAGTGACTATGAAGCCAAAGATTGATGGAGTTTATCAACTTTTTATTTTCAAAAATGTTCAATTAAACTAGAATGAAATAAAACATTTATAAACAAAAAGTATCAAAATCTCAAAATAAATTCTCAAAATAACCATAAACTCAAAATAACCAAATTCATCCTCAATTCTTGATTCCGTAGCATCTTGACTTGCTTATATTTGTTCAATTACACATTGATGAAGAGGAAATTCTCCTTCCTGACAAGGCAATTTCACAGAATTACCATAACAGACTTATAACATTTTCACATCATCTTTTACCTTGAATTCTTTTTTCAGGGTGTCCAAGTATTTGATCTGTATAGACGCTGCCTCAGTAATATCACCATCAGGCTCTGAGATAGACAACAGTACACATGATAATAATAATGGGAATTTTATAAACACCTTACATTTTTACCACATATTTATAAAATAGAAGTCTCAAATGGCACTATTCAGAATTGACTCTTTATCTCAGGAGAAGGTTTTCCCCACTATGCCAGGGCTTTCTTTGGGTATGGGACCTAAAAGTGACATATACCTCACTAAATTGGTCATTAAATCAAAATAAATGAACCTATTTTGATAGTTTTTCATCTAATGAAAGAACTACCAGTAAAAGATACCTGTTTTTGGCAATTGCCAAAAATTAATGATACGGCTCATTGTTATGACAAGGAAAATGCCAAGCCAATCAGTCAGCTCATCAGTGTGAACAAGTTAGATTCAAGACAAGACCAGTTTTTTCCAAGAAAAATCTTCCAAAAAACCTGTAGAAGAAGACTAAATATAGGAGATGGATGATAATAATAATAAATGAGCTCTATGCCCTATACAGTCTTAATTATTATCCCAGCAGACCTGATGGCATTCAGAAACAATCTCAAATTCCTGAGAAGCATACAGTGCAAGCTGCCATTTCATAGGCGTTAAAACACTAATGTACTGACAAGATCTTTTACTGTCTATAGTCAGGTACTAATTCCCATCAGGGTAAAGAGAGGAAAATTTATGCCTTTCCCATGGACACAACCTCCGACCTGAGGCTCAACCCCTGAACCCCCAACCTTACGATTACAAGTCCGTAGCAAGGCTTACCACTAGACTACAGACGCCACAACACTCGTTATTCGGGAGACTCACCAAAGTTTAGCTTGTAGAAGGAAAGGATGCTCTTGAGGGCTTTCTCCACCTCGCTGTCGGCCCAGGTACCCTGACGCTTGGTGCTCACTTGGTATGCCATACTGTTGTCATCGCCTGTCACCGTCACACCTCTAGGCAAACACAAATAAAACTAGGTCAATCTGTTTTCCCCTCCTTATAAAACTTCACGTCAGTAAGATGTTCAAATGCACTAAATTCAAAATTTCATTTTTTTTTAAATTGTAGTTTCTTATCTATGGTATCGGTTGTATGTGCTCAAGACATATTTTGTCAAAATTTAAATTCTTAATTTTGAAAAAAAGCAAGAAAATGTATAAAATGTAGATCCCATGTGTATGTGTAAAACATCAAAGTTTTTATTTCTCTCTCCTGAAAAATTGAAACAACAACAAAAATTCAAATATAAAAATATAAGCCACTATTAAATTCCGAAGACCATTTACACCCATTCTTATGCATGCACCGTGACTCCTAATGCAGCTCATTTCTCTCACTGCAATACATAGCCTTCACTGTCACATTTTCATTTTTTTTCTACAGAAAGAAAAGGAACTAAACTCTGACCACCACATACCTCTCAACAAACAAAAACAGCTTAGACTCGTACTCGTTGAACTGTTCATCCACTTTACAAAAGGGACACCTGAAAACATAAGAATTTCATAGCATGCAAAAATCTTTCTAATACTTCTTTTTTTTTGTAAGAGTTTTACGGCATTTGCAACACAATCAAGTCATATAAGTGTGGAAGATCAGAGGTGTTACAAGGGAGTAACAAACACAAAAAAGAAGGAGGGGAGATAAAGACGATAGATGTTTGATAAGAAAGAAGGAGCAAATCACACCAGAGCACCTGACAACCACCCACTTCTAATACTTCAACTAATACTTTCCAGATAGTGAGCTGTACTTAGAGGGTAACTAAAACACTGCCCAGAGATTTCAGTTGTCTTCAAAGAGTCACTGTAAAACACTTTTATGTAGAACAACCCCTTGCAACTCAACCTGATAAGAATTTGAACCCAAACAGTTTTCTGTATGAATACACAGTAATGTCCCTCTCTCCCTTCTCCCTCTAATCGCTTGCAAGTGTGTACATCAAGGCAAGTACTCCATAGTCAGAAGACAAATTAAATGAATGATTTTACCCTTGGATAATGTACATCATAGAATTCAAAGCGTTCTTTCCTCATTTGTATACTTCATTTCTAAGCCACATACCTGATGCCTTCATTTATATTCATTGTCAAAAGAAAAATATATATCCCCTTACTAAGATACAAACTTCCACTAGCATAAATTTCTCATAAAACGTATTTATTTGCTATTTTTTGTTCAAGAAAAGAGAAGCATGTCAACACATTAACAGTCATTTAGCGTTGGGAAAGCGTAAAATAGAGACTGGAACAGAAGAAGAAAAAAGGAGGACCTACCAGTATTGGTCTCCAACAATCCACATATCTATTTTGCAAAAGTGTCTACAAAATTCAAGTGAGAAAAGACAGCTTGATTAATGAAGCAGCTGGAAAGACACAAGTCAGTATGTCCTTTACAATGCCAGTCAATTGTGTCTCAGTGTCACTATCAATTTGTAACTTTAAAAAATCAAATTAAAATAAGAGGTAAAACCTAACCCTCAACAACAGACAACTCACGACTTGAGGATTTCCTCCACGGGTCTCAGGCAGCAAGTTGCAGCAGTTTGCACAAGGAGGGCTGAGGTATTCTCCACGAGTTTCTCCAGAGCAGAGGTGAGCGTGCTGCGGGCCTTGATCAAGGCTTGCAGGTGCGAGTCCACAACGTACATGAGGCCGTCTGTGTTGGTGAAGCTATAAAAAGAGTCAAACAACATTGACTCTCATTAGAGAAAAATAAATAAATGAATGTGTGTGCCTGGAGAAAGGTCCCAGTTGTCGGCAAAGCTATTTTTGAGCAACATGGTGAAATGGCCCAAAGTTGTACCTAATCAAAAAAAATTTTCCATCAGAAACACATGTGTAACCATTTCTTAATAACATATTGAAAAAAGTTATAATTATTTTGTCAACATGTACTTCACCAAAGGTTAAAGATATGCTAGTAATTGGGTTTTTCTCCAAACTTTGCTTTTACACCCTGTGATACAAAATGTAGCATATCTTTAAAACTATTCAAGACAGAACATTTTTTAATCAGCATGTTCAGCATTGAATTTACAACAAGAATATGCCCTTATTTCAATATCTAAAAATTCCGACAACTGGGACCTTTCTCCAGGCACACACACACACACGAAATAAATAGAGGTCTAACCAATCTACCACAACTGCCATTAGAAACAACTACTTCCCTTCTTTTTTTTTGAAAATATCATAACGACACTGTCAGGACCACCCACCAGTCTTTTGTCCTCGACAATAGGTGGCCATCTTAGACAATTTCGACTGCCATGTGAACAAGTATTTTGGCTTCAACGGCAAATACAGTGCATGTATAAAACAATTCAGAGGTTACATCTACCTCACACATTGTGTAATATTACATCAATACAGACAATTTTACAAGCACGCTATTGCTAATCAAAATGCAAAGCAAAGTATCAAGTGCTTACGAGTCGGCAATTGTGCCTTCTGTGGAGGATGTCTTTAGAAGATCGTCCTTGACCTTATCCATGAGATCGGGGTCAATGCCTCTCTGCACTGTCATCTCCACCACATCTGCCCACCAGTCACCATCAAGACCCTGAAGCTGTACAGAGGACAAACATGGATTTTTTACTTTGCCAAATTTAGATGAAGCAGCATTACAAATTTTGCAAAAGGAACGACAATTGTGGAAAAAGTCATAAAACAAAATAAAATATATGTTTTAAAAAAAAAAAAAACTGTTCTTCATCCTTGCAGAATAACTATAATTGTCTGTTAGTGTCTCACAATGACCAAAGCATCTACAGAGGAGTATATTTCATAAGTAATAATATAGAAGAATTAAGAATTAAGATAATTTGTAGCTTCTGCTACAGTCAATGAGACCAATTCTGGCGAGGAAGAGTTTGCTACATTTTGAGCATTTAAAAGTTTCATTTCCATTGTAAAAATATTCAAGACACATTCCAAAGTAAGTCTGCAAACAGAGTGCAATTGACTAACATGCTTGGTCAACACAAAAAAGTATGCGATTCAAAAATGAGAGGGGTTGAAATGTTCTTGTCTTTCCCAGAACCTTTATCCCCTCAGACCTGTTTTCAGAGGTTGGACCAAAAGGCCCCCCTTGAAAATTTTTTTAATCATTTAGGAGGCTGGCTTCCACCCTGCCTGTCAGGGCCAACTGACTTTCAGCTAAAGTTACTGTGTCTTGCTCGAGGACAAACCTAGTAATCATGCACCAGAACACCATATCACCAACACACGCTAGACATTATTATGAGCCTAAGCTCACTAACTTCTAACTCCTAGATCATTACAAGATAGACTTAGAATCGTCCTCAATCTCTCATTACAGCCTGTACTGTAATAAGTAAAAAAAAAGAGCTTTGTCAGCAAGACAACACAAAAATGTACCCAGTGCGCACACTTTCATTTCCTTCACAAAACTCGACCAGAAAAGACGGCATTCCTCTCACCTTTTGGTTGACCTCGGTAATGTTGGCCTGCGAACTGTCAAGAGCCTCTCTGCTTGCACCGATGTTCGCCGTCGCTTTGTTCATGTACTTGTCCTTCAGTTCCCGGCACTGTGCACATAAACAAGGTTCACTGTAAACGTTTCACATCCCTGTCTACACAATATATAGAGCAAAAAGGAAGCGAAATGATTTGATCCCGAGTCTGCCTGACAGAGGTAACGAGGGCTGTGTGGGATCTTTCATCCCAGTAGAAAGACAAAATTACAGTCAAAATTGTTCAAGACAACCGACCACCCACTATCGAGGAGAAATGTGGTTGTACTCAACAGGTCAACGTCTTGGACAGTCTCATTACAATGTGAAAATAAACACAAAGAGGGAAGTAGGAGGTGGTTGTTTGGACAGGCGACTGTCTTGGACAGGCGGCCGCTAGCCTAGATTTTAACTATACATGATATGTGCAAAATAATCTAGAGTAAAATATTGGAATAAGGGGGTGGGAAGAAAGACTTTTGAGTTTAATTTTAATTCAAGGTTCTTTCTGGCAACATGCTTCACCTAACTAATCCACAAAGAGAGAGAGAGAGAGAGAGAGAGAGAGAGAGAGAGAGAGAGAGAGAGAGAGAGAGAGAGAGAGAGAGGAAAGAGGGCGAGGGAGGGGAGAGGGAGAGGAAAGAGGGAGAGGGAGAGGAAAGAGGGAGAGGGAGAAATAGAGACTGACAGACAGTAAAAAGTAAGAGATAGAAACGCGGAAGAATCTGAGAGAGACAGAATAAGACAGAGAAGGAAGAAAAAAAGAGGAACCGACACACATATCAGCAAGAGAAAGCAAACATAAAAATAGCCAAAGACACAGAAGAACAAGCGAAAGACATACCTAAACAAAATGAACTCACCCAGTCAGTGTAGAAAAACCCCCAAAAAAGAAGCAGAAGAACGAGAGAAAGACCTACCTGTTCTTTCAGCGAGGCGTCCCTCATGGTGGGAGCTAGTCCCTCTGGCTTCGAGTCCAGCACCCAGGCCAGGTTGTGCATGGCGTGCAACTGCTGCAGGTCGTCGGTGCGGAAACGCTCCTTGTGCTCCTCCACTGACCGCAACACCTCCCGGTACTTGTCCACCGCATCCAGCAACTGGAGGCCACAATTGTCCAGTTATCAATCAAAATTTTCCCCCAAATCAAATCAAAATATCAAATCAAAATTTGTCACAATATCAATAAAAATTTGTCAAGTTATCAAGTATGTCATTCAAAATTTATCCAGTTATCAATCAAAACTTGTCATTTATCAGTAAAAATTGGTAATGTTACCCCACATGCCAGAACAAAATGCGGGTATTTTTTTGAAAGACCACTCCAAAGCAGAGACCAGTATGACAAATAAAGAGAAACATAACTCACAGTAGATCTCCAAAAAACATCCAAGAGATTTTACTACATTTATTCTGATATTTGTATTACATAACATTTCAAACAGAGATATTAGCATATTCCTATTGGTGAAAGGAGAAAAATATTTTCGATGTAGCATAATTGCGAAAATTTTACAGTAACCGTCAAAGAAACTTGTCTCTAAATGTCAAAGGAGGCAAACAATTTGGGATTTATTTTTAAAGGTGAAAAGCCAAACAAAGCGCAAGAAAGACCAGCTTGAAGGTCAATATTCATGATCAATAAGCAAAATTCACCAGTTTATAATTAGAGATGCCATTCCCACAAGACTGCACAAATAATGCGACCTGAATAAAGAGAAAGGCTTGATATACAAGTTCTCTACATCCAAAAGTATTACAAGTACCACTGGCAGCACATCACCTTCATATCAGGTGCTAGAAGGAACACCTTATGGAACAACCTAAACAGCACCTAAAAGGATGGAAAACAACCCAGTAAATTACAGTGATCAAAACATGTCTGTAGAACAGCAACTGAAAATACTGACCTTCCCCCTCAAAATGGCCAGTCCTGCGAGACCGTTGAGAGAAGCCACAATCTGCCGATGAGCCTCCTCGCACTCTGTCTTCACTTTCTTGGTCATGTGCTCCAGAACTTTCTCCATGGTCATCATTCTGGAAAAAAGAAAAGAATCCAATTGTCAAATCATCAATCTTTTAAGTCAGAGCGGGATCACTTATCTCAGAGATGGGCAATATAAGCTTATTGAGACTTTTTAGGTCAGTGTATATCACCTAAAACATCAAGACAAAGACAGAGCAAAAACAAAGTGAGCTCCATTCACATCATGCTGGACTTCAAAGAAAAGTATCTTTTTTTTTTCAATTATTTTAAAGACATTCTTGAACTTGGCTTTTTTGGGCTCTCCGCCAACTTGGCTCAGTCCCATTAGAGATAAACATTACATTGGATAACCTGACTCTTAAGTAACTTCAGTGTTGAAAGAGTCATTTACTTCAAAATTCCTATGACCCCAATTTGCCCCTTTTCTTCTCTTTTGAAAACTTTTCAAAGGTGAGAAAGTGACAGAATAAAACTTTGAATTGTATACTCAGTACATAAACTAAATATAGTTACATCATCCATTAAAAATCATTTTGAACATTTGTATTGTAAGATCAATTTGTAAGTATTCTGAAACTACAGAGAAAAGACTAGTAATCAAACTTTGATAACCATGAATATCTTTGACTTTAAAGCAAAAACCGACATAATCTGAGACTTACAAATGGCATTTTTCATCAGTCTATTCACAGAATATAATGCTCTACATCATGTGTATATGCAATTTCATCCTCAAAGCTAGAGAGCTTTACAATAAAAATTTCACATTTTATTGAATAATAAAAGTGACAGATCGTTTTCGTCTTATGTAACTCGAAGTTGACCACTTTTCAACAGTCACTATCAATATGCAACCTTTTTTTAAATAAGTTTGAGTCACAAACGTCTCTACATGAGATGTCTTTAAAAAATATTGCCTACTCAAACTCAGTAATCACTATTGCAAACATGATAAAGCAAGGTGATAAAAAAAATCCTTCAATCATGACAGCAGCTTGGGGAGCCAGTGATTTAAGAAAAAGCAGTTGAACTTACTTTCTATTCAGAGGGAGGAACTCTCCTCTCACAATCTGTGGGTGACAGCAGGCTTGTCTCAAGCGGAACAGAGGACTCAACAACTGAAACAAAATGTTATTCTCTTTGACAAATTCTTTTGACATGCTTTAAGTACCCTTGACAATTTTAGAAGCTGACTGACCAAAAGTTGAGTCTTCATGAAAGAAAATCCGATACAGACGGAAAGTGACATGTTGGTTTAAATAAGGAAAATGAGAACATCCCAACAACAGTGAAATGAACATTTTACACCACGAAAACCCCCCCACAATATTTCGAGTTTTAGCATTGGAAAAGTAAGTCATACAATAATCAACGCCATAATCTAGTTATCTTTGACATACAATCCCTCTCCTCAACTCTATTGTGAAATATTTTGGTGGGGAGTGAATGATCTGACTTGAGCCTACTTACCTCATTCATCGTTTTGCGATCCAGAGCATGGAGTTTTGTGTTAGGGTCCTGATTGTTTTGAACCTTTCTGCGATGCTAAAAATAAAGCAAATAAGAGTCAAACTTTTCTTAGCCTTCACACAGATTTACATTCAAAAAATAAACTAGCACAAGATAGAATCATATCAACATCTTAAATATGTAGATGAATAAAGTAAAAAAAATGATTTAACACAATGCCAGTAATCTGATTTATAAGTACCAACAATTTTTAAAACATAACTTTCTAAAACAAAAAAGCACTTTATTTCATATATTAAAAACATTACATTTAATTACACCCTCTTCAATCCCTCATCCCTTCCCATAATTCTTCCAACTCAGGAAAAAACATTGATTCATCAAAGGCTTCAAAAACAAAACTAAACAAAAAAGATCCATCTCTTGCTTTTCAACATTTAAAAAAAAAAACAATTTAAAACTTGCACTGTCTAAATATTATAAACCGTGTGCACAAGCCTCACTTCCAAAGAGCCACAAAACTCATTATGTGTAACATCTGTCATCATTATCTCTTCTTTTTCTTGACTTTGTATGTAAACACCTCTAATTACGGACACTTATTTGACCAAACTGAGTTGCAAGTGCCGTAAAACGTACACTAACAACTCACAATGTAAGCATTCCGCTCATAGATCTCATACTGCCTTCTGTAGAAATGCTCCTCCACTGGGGAAAAGGTCAGCCAGTTCACTTCCTCAGACTGGGCTGGTAGGTCAATCTGCCAATACCAAAAAACATCCCCTCAAGGTCATGTGTTAAAAGTAAGGTCATGATGACAACACAAAACCACAAAGCAATTCATTTTACACATTAAAAACATTACATTTCATTCACACATTGACCACTTTACCAAATATTTTCTACGACATACGGGGAACAACACAGAATACATATTGCTCCATAATCCAATATCTTTTTTGCAGAATATTTCACAATGTCATACACATTAGCCTGAGAGAGAGAGCTGAAAGCTCTACCACAATAAAACCAATTTCTAAAAATAAAAGAAGGCTGCCTAAAAAGAAAAACCTACCTTTATTCTACTAAAGGCTTCTCTCACACCTAATATTAATACTGCCAAGAGGTAGAATAAATAAATAGAACAACAAAGTGGTATCCTCTACGCTCCCAAAGACGTACGGAACAAAACAATATGGTTCACGACACAGTGGAATCAGGCGCTCGTCATTTTTCTGGGCATGTGGATTTATTGGTATCATCTGAAAGCTTGTTCATTTGCCTCGCTTTCAATGAGAAAAAATTACACATCTATCTTGAAAAGAAGTTGAGACATTTGCGATTGAAGGAGGTAGGAGGTTGCCTGGTTTCAGTAGCAAAATTAGTGAAAAAATGCCTACCAAAGTTTGGTAACTTTGAAAGTACTCGAAAACTGAAAAAATTACATATTTGGTGCCTTTAATCAACGTTTTTAAGTAAAATTCAAATAGAAATGAGTCAGAAAACTAAAATTCGATAAAAATTGCCAAAGTGATGGAAAAATGCCTGTTTCTTCGATTTCATCATTTCGACGAGCACCTAATTTCACCACGGTGCCTCATATTTCACACAGACTCTGTCACCTGATCAATAACATCCTTCTTGGCCGTGCGCCAAAGCACCTGGGACAGGGCATGGTGCATGGGTGCGGAGAAGCCGTGGCAGAAAGGTTCCCAGACCAGCAGTTTAAACCACTGTTGAACCAGCAGAGGGTCCATGCCCAGGAACAGCAGCAGGCCATAGATGTCTGAGGGAACAGACGAAAAGACGTTTTAGTTTTAGTAAGAATTTTACGGCACTTGCAGCACAATAAAGTCACAGAAGCGCTGAAGATTAGGTGTTACAAGAGAGTAACAAACAAATAAAAAGGAGGAGAGATCGGGACAATAGATGTTTGATAGGAAAGAAGGAGCCAACTACCCGCAAGCAGAGATGCATGCTTAACGATTTTGTTTGTTTCTTTGAGTAAAACTAAGCACATCAACACAATAATAGTCATGTTGTATTGAAAAATGGGCATTTTTCCCCCTCAACCACAGGGATCAAGGACTGGTGATGGGTCTCATTTAAATATTGAGAAATGCCTCAGCGTCTCAAACAGCTTCTCCCAATCCAGCCAACCGTACCTGCCCGTGGTGATCCCTGTTTTCACTGACACGGCTCTGGTGAATGGCGAGTTGTTGGTGCCAACAAACCAACCCCCCCCTTATCAGTCTGTTAGCGTTTGAGCCATTAATCGGCTGCTTGCTCTGTATGATTCCCGGGAAGCCGAGAACGATTCTGAGTATTAAATGGTCCCTTGGGGTAATAATATAGTTTAAAGTGCATAGAGCTTGCTGTCAAGGAGGGGTATGCACTAGACAAAGACTATTTATTATTACAAAATTCAAAGAAAATAAATTTACTCCAAATATATCAATGGCTCTTTCTATTTTTTATGGATATAGAGACTGAACAATTAGTTGTCTTAGACACCTGGACATTTCGTAGAGTCATTATAGATTAATAATAATAATAAGAGCATTTGTATCCCGCCTTTCCCCACAACATGGGCCCAAGGCGTACATAGGAGATTAAAAACGCATTCATACTAACACCATACAAATTCATCATGTGCGCACTTTTTGACAGCAACATTCTTTCAGACAATAAAAAATGCTCATACAAAAAGGCAAAGGTACTGTCCATTAATTAAAATACTTCTTAAGTAGATGTGTTTTGAGTCCCCTTTCGAAGGTATAAAGTTTTATTTCACTTCTCAAATCATGAGGGAGAGTGTTCCAAACTGTTGGCCCAGAAAAAGAACAAGCTCTCTCACCATATTTCTTCAGTGACACACGAGGTGTTGAAATTAGTCTAGAGCCACTGGATCTTAGTTCACGTGATGGTGTGTATGGTACAATGAGTTCTTGAATGTATGTGGGAGACTGGTTAGTTTGACCTTTGAAGCATAGTAGGGCTAACTTATATTCAATTTTTGCTTTCAGTGGAAGCCAATGTAGCTCTTTAAGTAGGGGAGTCACATGATGGCGTTTTGATTGCTTTAATACTAGTCTGGCAGCATTGTTTTGAATGCCTTGGAGTTATGCAATTTTTTCTTCAGGTAGGCCAGCGAACAGTGAATTGCAATAATCAATGCGTGACAAAATGAAGGCAAACACTAGTTTTTTGGTGGCATCAGTGATAAGAAATTTCCTTATGTGTGCAATTCTTCTCATTTCTAAGTATGAAATTTTAAATAGATGGTTAAGTTGGGTCTCCATGGACAAGTCTTTGTCTAAGTAAACTCCTAGATTTTTTGCTTTGTTTGAAAAAGCGACAGTACCTTTGCCAATGGAGAGACATTCTACATCAAGAGCATTTATCTTTGAGCTGGTTGAGCATGGCATGATTTCTGTTTTGTCATCATTTAATTTCAATTTATTTTCAATCATCCATGCTTTTACAGATTCAAAACATTCTGAGGTGTCTTTTAACAGAGATTGAATATTGTTGGGTTTTGCAGACTTGTAAAGTTAAGGGCAAGGGTGGGGGGGAGGGGGGTGTCATTTGTAAAGCTGATTGTCTTGGACCACAAGAGCAGGTTTGACTGCATTACGATTTTCTATGGTGTATCGTTTCCACCATCATCAAAATCTTTTCTTGTTCCTTACTGGAGCCCCTGAACCAAGTACTCCAACTTCGTTTTTGTTTTAGTAAAAGTATGGCACTTGCAACACAATGATGTCATATGAGTGCCAGTTCTCCAATTTCAAAATGCTCTATTTGTGATTAGAAGAAAAAAAAAACAGATAGCAGAAACCCGAAAACTTTTCAAATATTGCACAGAGTGCACACTTTATGTGTTACATTACCACTAATACTTGGATACAAACCTTCCACACTCCGCATGAGTGGCGTTCCAGTCACACACCATCTGTTCACTGCCTTCAGGCGCAGAGCCATCTCTGCAGTCTGGTTTGAAAGAAGAGAGCATGATGCATGAAAAAACTATATGTAGGAATTATAGACTGCAGTTTGAGCTACTATCTGTCAAAACCCTTTGTCAAAATTTGTATTGTTTTAGTAAAAGATTTACAGCACATTTACAAAACAATTAGATCAAATAAAAGCCAAAGATAGGATGCGTTACAACTGAGTAACAAACACAAGAAAAAAGGAGGAGAGATAACAAAGATAGAAATTTAACAGGAATGAAGGAACAAACCACACTAGGGTTCCCACCAAACACCCACTTTGTCAGGATGCAGATTTTCCTGAATACTGATGGGACTACGTCAAGTAAGCATTGAATAAAGCCATTTCAATATATGATGGAAAGCAAAACTTTCTATGAACAGATCATGAATGGAGTATTATTTGCTTATCTTCCTGGCACATTCGTCTTCTTACAGTACAGTCATATAACAATGACAAAAACATGCAGAAAAGCCAAGTTACTGACATCTACATACCTTTGTGGTTACACACTCTACCATTTGAGCTTCATCAAGGCAAATCTGAGGGCAGGCGAGAGGCAAAAAAATGTAGCAAACAAAAGAGCTCAATACTCATAGTACCTAGAAAAAAAAACATGTCCTAGATCTTCTACACTACACCTGTCTAAATAGGTCAGGCTATAACAATTAGAGACAGAGAACATTATATCAAGTGGAACATTTGAATTTTCATTTAAGACAGACAGAACAAATTGTGAAAACTATTTTTAAAATACAGCTTTTACACAACACTGAGTTGGCCACTGCAGCATATCTGGATACACACCCACCTTGGACGTGGAACACTGAGTACCAATATATTTAAATAAGACAGAGCTACGTCCTTCTTTTCTGAACATATTTTTTTCCACCTAATGTTCTGGCAGGATGTTGTCACACACTCAGTCTTCAAAATTATATATTCTGCATCTAGACAGGTGATAAACTTCAATCAAATCAATCCTGAACCAGCTTAACTCTTTATCTCCAGAGAAGGGTTTTCCCTGCCATGCCGGGACCCTCTTTTGGTACAAAACCTCTGAGACATACATGTCACCAAATTGGTCATTAAATCAAAACAAATGGACGTATTTTAATAGTTCCGGGTGGACATTTTGCAGTGTCATCATAATATTTTTTTGAAAGTCTGTGGGGGGGGGGGGGGGGGGGGGTAGTCATTTATACAGACGATTGTCTTAAATAGGTGGCCATTAGAGCAGGTACGACTGTAGTTCAAAAAGTGGTGTAAACAGAAAGCTCTCTCAGCTTTCATACGCTTTCAAAGAATATACTTCAATTGATTTACAGAAAAAAAAATATGTGGTATTTTCCAAAAAAACTGCCATTTACTGCACAACAGATTAACAATTGAACAGTTCAAATAACAGCAGACTTAAATGGCAAATCTAAAAAAACTTTGGTTCCTTAGGAACTAGGACTAATGCAAAAAAAAAGACAACTTACTCTCCACCACTCTACAGCTACCATGGGAGATGGTGTTGCTAAGAAGCGTTTAGGGTGGCGAAAACGCCTGCCTGACTCACCTGAAAAACACAAAGAAAAATTTCAAGCTAGCCAACTACAGTCGAATCTGTCAAAGACGGTCCCCCAGGGTCGAGGACAAAATTAGCCTTCTTAGACAGGTGACCATCGTACACAGTGTAAAAAAAATATGAAATGGATGAAAATGGAAGTGGCTATTTGTACAGGTTTGTCTAATAAAAGTGCCCTTTAGACTTAAGAGCAGGTTTGACTGTACTTGATGAATCAGTTACAAAGATTAAAACAAGAGGGAGGAGTAGGACAAACAAATGAAAAGGAAAAAAAGCATCACAAGCTTCAGAACTTTGTGCAGTCTCTCAGTTCCGACAATGGTATCTGTCTGTTAAACATTTTGCATTCCAAAACAGGGAGGTAACCTCACTGTCAGCTATGGTTTGAAGGTAAGGCTATTTTCCTAGCTTGCAAAAGATGCAAGTTTCATTCCCTCGCTGGGCAGACATATTTTTATTGAATAGGCCTACCTCCATCTCTCTGCTAGTTTTGGTTGGGCCCCGATAGGCAGTGTCATACCAGCCCACTTTCTAAATATCTTAACTGTAACAGTAGGGTTGTAAATCATTTACAATCAAAGTCTACTGTGCAAAAAAACTTGTACGCCTGATATTGATGATGATCTGCAGAAGAAGCAAAAGAAAGAAAGTGAAGGACCCTTACACCTACATCGCATTCGGAGTCTCCAACAAGAAAAAATAAACAATTGAAGTTGTCCAAGAAGACCACCCATTGTCCTGGAGAAAAGTTGTCATCTTTGACAGGTGGTCCTTTAAGACAATGTCATTATTATCTTTTAAAAATGCAGGGGGGGGGGGGGGGGGGGAGATCTAAATTTAGAGAGAGAGAGAGAGAGAGAGAGAGAGAGAGAGATATTATCTAGTCCTCCTGGGGGGGGAGGGGGGGGGGGGGAGATGTGTATGCACAGGCAGTTGCCTCGGGACAAGTAACAGCAGATTTGATATTATTTTTATTCACATCTATCAACAGATCAAACCTGACACTAAGACATGTTGATTCTATACCAATAAAAACTTACTGTTGGTGTGTGGTAAATTAGCATAGTCTACTTCCTTCCTGAGTACGTCATAAGTTGTGATGACAATGTCCTGCTGAGCCAGTGTTTGAGGCTGGGTGTAGCCGAGCTTAGATACCCCTGTGTAGATCTGAGAACGAAGCAAAGAACTGGATTTTCTTTTCTGTGTGATGTTCATGTGTGTGTATCATCTCTGTCGTCTTTCCTTCCTCTGTCCTTCTTCTTCATTCTACACTAAGCAAAAAGCTTCGCTTGTAAAATGAGCAAATCAGGTCCAGCAGGAGGCACACAAATGTAAAAAAAAATTTCTCTTATCATTCACAAAGAAACCTCAACATATAGAAATAAATGCATACTTCTCTCACAAAACTTCAGCCGTCTATTCTTAATGCAGTCATAGCATCTTTTTTCAAGTGACAGTGTTAGACATATAAAGCAAGACAATTAAAAGTAACCGTTGAAAAAAATGAAAGAAACAAAATTCCCATGACCCATCTTTAGACCAGTTTTGAATTCATTTGTACAAATCACAAAGTAAAACAGCTTCTGAAAAACTTCAGTTCCAAAGTTGCTGCAGCCTGTTTGTTTAGTCATCAACTTCACATTAACATAGCAACCATAAGACCCAGTTTTTGTTATAATTTAAATACCTAGTAATCAAATGACTGTTTTCAATGCTCCTATATCTTTTCAATTCTAGTTCGTTAAAGGATGAATGCTACAACAATAAAAACTTCAACTAACAAAGACTTTAATGCTGCATTCTTTGATGTGTTTACGGATTTCCTCAATCCACTGGTGGCAGATCGAGTATGGGGAGATGATCAGTGTTGCTCCTGACTTGATGGTACTCTGAGGAAGACATCAACAAAGAACTATGTATCAAAATTTGTGATTTGCAGTATGTACTATATTTGTATCACTTAAACCAGGTAGTTGGGAACTGATGGCACCAAAAATATTATAACCTTTCTACAATAAGTATCCATTATTTATACAACCTGCACTTCTTCAACATAGATTTCTAAAACCAGAGAAAAAAACCCAATCCTTCTCTTTCCACTAAAATCTTGCTTTTTAAGGCCCTGGATTGCTCTGAATGACACAGTAAGACTAGAGACAGTATAAAGTATAGAATACACAGTATTTTATAAGAAGCATAAAAAGGAACAACCCTGTTGTTCCCGCCCACCATCTACATCATTTCTTAAGACTATGCTTTTTAAAGCGCAAATCCTAATACTCACTGAAAGAGCATGGCAATGAGGACACAGATAGTCCCCACGGAGAGGATCTGTGAGGTCATAGTTCATGCACTCTGCATGCTGCGACATGCCGCACTGAAGACACGAGACAGTGTGCAGTCCTCTGCGGGAAGTCTCTGCTTCGTTCTCCAACTGGCCACAGTTGCACTCAAAGAACTGCTTTCTTGCTGCCGGCTTCGTGTTAAAATAGCTTGTATCCTCACTTGACACAGGCACATATTCCACATACCCTCTTGATTTGCGGTGGGCTCTTTTCTTACCACTGCTGCAGCTGCCTTCTGAAGTTCTTTGTGAAGACTGTAATGTATTGTCCTGTTCAGCCGAAGTAGCGGCAGAGGAATGTGCACCAGAGCCTTCAGCGGATGACAAAGATGATGGGACAGTTGTTACAATTCTAGATCCGTCCAGTAATGAAATCTGAGCTTTGTTCTCAGCCAGTGTCAGACTGTCAGAAACACCACAGCCATTTGCATCGTCAAGAGTTTGCTTCAGTTCATTCCCGTCAGGAACTGAACCAGGTTTTGTGTGGGCCCCACTATCTGTGTCCATGTCTGACTCTCCACACAAATCTAAACTTTCTTTGACATGAAACTGAATTTCCCCAATGTGTTCTGATGTGGACAAAATATTAAGTGGCACTTCCATTTTTACTGTTCCTGATTTCAGAGAGTCTGAGACAACACTGTGAGAGTACCCATTATCATTACTGCCTGGCACCGATTCCTTGTCCATGTCTGAGCACTCTTTCACCGACTCACAACTCTTCAGACCAACACAGAGGGACTGAGCAAATAAATCGTCACTAGTCTCCACGTCTTGAGCATTGTAAGAACAACTTGGCAATAAATACTCATCTTTCCCTAATAATTTATCCCCACTTAAGTGAGCCTCACTTTGGTCTACACAGTCAGAGTTCTCTTGAGCAATTTTCACTGCATCTTTGACACCATTCAATACCAGCTCATCTTTCGGCATTTCAGATCCATCCTTTGCACCATTCAGCTTATCAACATCAGGCGAAGGGACCGTAGAATATGTTTCAGAGTCTGCGAGAACGGGTAAAGCCTGCAGAGGTTCCAAGTCTTGCCGAGGATGGAGCAACATGCAACAAAGAACTTCCACTGTCTTGCCTAGACCCATTTCATCTGCCAGAATACCTCCAGGAAGTAGTGGAATAGCTTTCGGACGATCTTTAATCAAACTACAGCAGCAAAAGAGAAAAAAAAAAGGAAACATGAAACACAACATAAATTAGTTTAAGACTGATACAGAGATTGTGATATAAATGAAAAGTTATTTTTTTTATACAGCATATACTTTTTGCGTGTGTGCTAATCTTTTCGTGTCAAACTCATTTATGTACACAAACAGGACACAGTGAACAGCTGTTATCCCAAAAATGAAAAGGCACCCAGCAGGAAACAAACAGAAGGACTCTCTCTCTCTCTCTCTCTCTCTCTCTCTCTCTCTCTCTATCTCTCTATCTATCTCTCTCTCTATCTCTCTCTCTATCTATCTCTATCTCTGTGCATCTGCCCACATACTTACATCATTTATAACTTAAAACAATTGAACAGAATGAACAGCCTGTGTGAAAACATACAGTCAGACTGCCCCAAAATGGATTTGCACTGTGGTTACCGAGCCAACACCAGAAATACATATGACGCTGCTGAGGTTTTCGTTGAAATTCTAACACATCTTGGACGCATCACAGAAAAGTGAAAGCGTTTGAATGAACACAAGATATATGCATGAGATGTTTGACCAAAATGGAATATTAGGTCACTGATTTATGTCAACCATATTGAATGACAGCATTACCAAGAACAATGTTTGCTATAACCCCTAATTTCAAAATATATTAAGAGTAGAAAAACTTTTTTATTGAGCCTTCTTGTGGCATAAAGCAAGCAAAAAAAACATTTAAGGATTTGAAGCTCCCATACCATTTATGAAAAAAAATTAACAATCAGATTAAAAAGAAATGCCACAAAGAACAACAAAACTGACCCTGACCAGAGAGAAATTCTTCTAAATTATCCTCGAAAGATCTTAATGCACGATTTTTTTCTTGCCGTCGTGTGACCAAGTAAACCCTTGTCTTTACCTGCCTCCATGTCGATTGTAGTACAGTTGTGCACCATTCCGAAACTGCACTTCACAATACAAGGGGTGTAAATCTGAGCAAAAAAACAAGACATCGGTAATAACAAAAAGTTCAATCATATCATAAATCAAAAAGAGCTACATTGTAATTTTTCTTTCAAGGATACTACAAGAAACATTTATAGCTGCACAGTAAAAAAGATAGCAAAAAAAAACAAACAACCGATATATTCAATAAGCCCACTTTCAAAAAGCATGTGCTTCATACAAAAGGAGTTTCTTAAGGGACAATATGAGACTAACAACCATTGCATGTTACAAACAAATTCAAAAGACTCTAAAATCGAAAAAAAAAAAGAAAATAAACGGCAAACAAACACACAATGAGTTGATACTGTTGACAGCTACAAATATTTTGTCTTTTCTTACAAAATTAATTGCCGTAAAAATGTATTAAAAAAGGGCCTAAGGTTTAAACTGATGGTTTGTGACAATAGCTTTCTTTCTCCATCTAATGTTTCTATTTATACTCCAATTCTTAGGCCATGCTATTCACTTCAAGGACATCTTGTGAAAATGATAAATACAGGAACAACTACAACTTCACAAACCTTGCAACGTCTGCTGCTCTCTGTTATCATAGTTTCTCTTCTCCTGCCTCAACATCCAGGCCACACTTTGCTTTTGGTAATGCCGCAGCTTAGGTTTAAGACAGTCGTGACTAATCTCAGCAACTTCCTTTTCCCATGCCTGGTCTTGGTCCAGTTGAGCTTTGTGGATGAACATGACGCTTTCATACAGATGGAAGAAGTCATGGCCAGTCGTCCTCACTCGTTTTTCATAATCTGGAAACACGTGGAAGATAAAAAAAGGAAACGTACGGGTGTTACCTATAATTGTTTATGAAAAAAGCTACTACAATTTCAGAAGCAATAAGGTGTTTGCATACCTTACGAAGAAAGTTCATATGACTATACAGTAACTAAATACAGAGATTAACTAACATATGATATGTCATGGCAAGCGCAAACATAAACAAATCTAAGTGATCGTGCTCCAACTTGAAGTCGTCATGTTTTCCTAATGCCATACTGGCCAGGTGCCATTAGATAGCAACTACAATCATTGACCAACTTAAAAATTTTCTACTTTTTTTTAAAACTCCCAATAGCAATACTATGTTATTCAATTTTATTTTTTTTATTCGGATTTTCAGTGAGATTTTTAAAACGTAAAATGTGACATGATGGGTTTTTTTCTTATATAAAAAAGAATATCAAATCGATATTTGTTCTCAAAGTACAGCAGAGCATGTAAAACTAAAATATGCTTAACTCAAAAGTACAAGTCATTTGGCTATGAGCAGATTCTTTGCACTTAAAGAACGCTAAACGCTAAAATCAAAACAAAAGATAGATTGCTAAAACATATTTCTTTCCTTCCGCAAAATCAACAAAAACTAAAGGTGGAACATGTCCAACGCAAACCTGCCATACACGAGAGTACAGGTTATTTGAACTATGATGTCTGTCCAGATTTCTCAATAAATAAATTCATTAAAGTTAACTTCTAATCTCCAGTAACCCACTCCCAGCAGCAGCTTGCAGTTGGAACCGCTGTGCTGGTGATCCACTGACACATTCCGTTACCATGACAACAACAATATATTACATTTCTGTAATTGCTGAAAACAGGTCTTTCTTACTGTACTGTAGGTTCTTTCATTAAATGAAGAACTACCAAAATAGGCTCATTTGTTTTGATTTAATGACCAATTTAATCACTTGCAGGTCATTCTCACATTTTGTACCAAAAACAAGGCTCCAGTGTAGTGGGAATACCCTATCAGGAGATAAAAAGTTAAAGCACTCTAAAATAAAAATTAAAGATGAACTACTTAAACATTTTTTTCTGCTGCGATGATAACAAAAAGATATACTACATATTACCCTACCCATCAGTCAAGCCTCAGAAGAAACAGAAACAACTCTCAGACCTTACATCAGTACAAGTGAAACAAGGAATTGATATTTCAGAAAAATAGATTGGTACAGTACTGGGCTCATGCATATCAACAAGAAGGGAAAGAGACTGTCATGTGTATGCGAACTGGGTGGGGGTGTGGAATTTGTACGTATGTGGGGTTGGGTGGGGTGGGGTGCAGGGTGGGATGGGGGTGAGTCATGTACCACCGAGGGAGGATGGGGAATCATCATGCATACATACCAAGTATTGTCCAGGGGAGTCAGAATTTAATGAAAGGAGGGGTAAGTGAGTTATGTCATGCATGTATGTCAAAGCAGGAGGGTCCCATTTGCCATCCAATGAAAAAGAAGAAAAATTCACATTAAAATAACTCACCATAGGGCAAAGAAATGTCAAAGTAGAACTCCATCAATTTCTGGATTGCGACCTGTACCACCTTGATCCGAATGACTTCACTGGGATGGGACAGCTTCAGAACAATACTCTCACAACCATAGATGGTAACTTTCAGCTCCTTCTCATGGGTGTCAAACGGGTCACATAGCAACTGAGGAGTTTTTCACTTACTGATGTTAAAAAGATAATAAAAGTATCAATTTGACAGTAATCATTGTAAAAAGAAAGGAGTTGCAGGAAAAACATCTATAAAAGATGAAGATCCCTCATCTAACCTGCCCCCCCTCCCCCTTCTACCACACACTGTATTCAACTGTGCTTCACAAAAACTAAATTTTCGTTATCGTCAATGCGGTTAATAAATTAATCTACAGAAGCACATCTTAGACGAACAGTAAAGGAGCCGAAGGTAACTGCTAGCCTTAGAAGCATTATAATACCGACACTTTTAGAGTCATCATGAAACAGGAACAAACTTTTAGGGAGGGATGAAATGATACTATCAGATGGCATATAAAATTATACCGCAACAGTTTCTCAAACAAGGAGAGAGACAGTCACGACTAACAAAAGGAATCGAAAGAACATAATTTGTTAGGTTTTCTTACCAAAAAAGACTTCCCCCTTAGGCTTGACAGTACTTGAACTGGGACATTCAATTTCACAAACCAAAACACACCAAACTTTGACTGTCTTGATTTCGTTTTCCTTGGCTGATCAACATTTTCATTGTTGTCTTCAGTCTCGAAATAGAGCATGCTGGGTTTATCTTCATTTGCCAGGTACAGCCAGCACTCCTTGAAGTCAGGCAATTGTTCTGGTAAAGGAGTCAGTTTCGGGTGAGCTACCAAAGAAATTTTGAATGTTCCAAATTCTAACAGCTCTGTTTTGTTCTTTACATCCTGTACTTTCGTTGAGTCTGAACAATGCAAGGTGACCGTTGAATGACAAGAAGCAAGATTCTGGTAGAAAGCATCAACGCATAAGGCATGGACGGGTGTGTGGCTCCCTGAGCTGCCCTCCCCACTCTGGGGCGATGCACTGAGGCCACATTCAGGTGACAGTCCTGACTGATTCAAGTTTTCATTTCTAAGCGTGTGGTCATTAATGAACGAGTCAGACCCTGAGCCACTCGCCTGGCCCGAGAGGTTCCACGTTAACTGCTGCCTTTTCGTTACTCCTGCATGCTGCGGAGCCCTCTGTTTTCGTTTTCCCATGGCTTTTGAATTTCTTTCAGAGAAGCAGATGTCAAAGCGTCCTCAAAAGCACGCAACAGCAGTCTGAAAAATAAAACATGAAAATTCTAAATATAATAAAATAATTTTCCTATTGACTTTCTATTCCATTTTTAGAACTATTCTATTGGTTCATAATTTAGTAAAGACAATGACCCACTGTGTTAACTTTGAAAAGCATGTCATGTAATAAGTTAATGTATTCTTTTATATCCACTCTTTGATTAAAGTGATATAAGCACAACTAAGTCAAAGTCAATGATGCTTTGTCAACTCAGCCAAATCTCACTTATTTTTAGAGGCTTATGTTGCTCTGCAGGAAGTACTGACCCTTTTGCAATTTGGTTACACCTATTTGCCTGCCAGTGCTAAACTGTAAGTTTGAACCTTGAGTCCACAAAAATAGAGTGAATACCTTTACAATGCTATGCATTTTCCAATGTGCTGAGTTTCAAACTGAATGGGTTGAGAGTAACTTGGGGGGAAAAAAGATTACAATAAAAGAAAAAAATATCTCTAAAAATTATCTGTCATCACAATTTTTTTCAGCTGCTTGTTCATAATTGAAGGTTGTATCTTGTGATTGAGTAAAAGCTTTCATGTAAATGTGTTATGACATTTGGATATAGCCTCTAATGCCATCAAAATAAAAAAGCCACAGTCAGCACTATCACTAGACGAACTAGATAGTTGAATACACAATTGACTCTTGATCAAAATCCAATAACTTGAATAACTTTGAATAACAAAGTTCCCAGGGCCAGACTGAAAAGTCAATTTGGGACTGAGATCATTTTTGTTTCTACTATAGAAAGCCATGGGAGCCAAACTTCAACAACACTATGCCTAAGAAACATACAGAAAAGGAAATACCCTGCATTGTTAGTAAAAAATCATGCTATAAAAGACCGAAGTGACAGTCCAAATAGACAAAAATTATATTCGGACTCTGAATAGAGTCAAAGATCATAAATAACAAGATTGTTCACTCAGCCAAAAAAGTGTGTGCGGAAGTCCGCGCATTGGATCAGATGGCGCTGCAGTCTTTGTTTTGAAGTTCTCTTTCGTTTCTCCAGAAGAAGAATAGGAATAGCACAGTTTGTTGGTTTCACTTTTATTGTTTTTCACACAAGTAGGGTAACTCTTATTTATCGGAAAGTCCGCACTTTTTTTTACGAGGGCCCCAGCGAATTTTGAGGACACTTTTTTAATTGGCTCAAAGAGAGGAGTGAGCTATCTTGTTATGTACGATCTTTGATTGAGTCCAGCATGATGTCCTTTTTGACTTCCGAGCCTTGTTCTTAAATATTTCCAGCATTTATGAAATATTTTTCAATTATAATGATAGCAATCGAGACATGAGCTTTAATATCCAGTTACTAGATCAATCTAAACTGTACTGGCCCCTCCTGCATCATTAGTATGAACAGAACAACCAAGTTGAGTTGACCTTGCCAGGGGCAAAGTTAATTATGTCGACAATGAAACTGTGTGATCATGCACTCTCGCTTGCTGGGGGAAGAGGCCACGGCTGTCAGTTTTGTGCGATGTGATTTTTATAAAATAAATAATAAGGCTACAGAAAAACTCTAACACACAGCAAAATGAAGTTAAACCTGTGGAAAGACAAATGGTGGTGGAAGTAATGATGGAGATACCACCTCTGACATATGATACAGGTTGTTCCTCAAGAAGACTGTGTCATCCCCATGGAGCCGCCTATCTTTGACGACCAACGAGACATTATTTTTTAACTTCACACCTCATATTAAAGGCAATATCTTGATTAATACTTTACGAATCTGTCTGAAAATTTCAGATAAGAGAGTGCATTCATTTTACAGCTAGGGAAACGTGGGAAGCAAAGTTCAGAATGTTTTTAATCTTATATTTTTAAATAATGCTCGAGGTAGGCATTTCCGAGTCTGATGATGGGGTTGCTGTTGACCCGGCTTTGGGGAAGCTGTTTACTTCCCCCCCTCAAGTGGCAACGCTGAAGAAGCCTTCGAGCAGAGCTGTCACCAGCCACAGGTTCGAGGAAAAGGACATGATAGTGTTTTGCAAAGTGTATGCTTTTGATATTAAGTGTAGCCTGTTAATATATATATCTTCTGTGTGTTGAGCCTTAGCTGCTTCCCTGTAGGCTAGGCTAAGCATTTTCCTGTGAATGGTCAATGAGTGGGGTCTTTCTGGGAGTGTATCTGCGCCAGCGTGTTTCGTACATTAGGCTTGCCTTTGGGTTCATTTGCATGTCACGTTTAGTTTGGGTGATGTCCTTGCGAGTGAGTGGCATACTGCGACCAAAACACAAGGGTACCACCCATAGCCTAGGCTACAAAACGGTGTAGGCTAGCTTAGATGGACTCTCGGTCGAAATTGCACCAAGGTCGTCGAAGTTGGTCCAACTGCCGGTCGAATTTGAACCTACCCCGGTCAAAGTTGAACCAAGTGAGGTATAATCACAAAAAAAGTCAGGTATCGAATATTAGGGACCCCTGCATTAAAACGGAACCTGACGAAGGATCGAGAAACACCATTTTATAATTTAATTCCCACTAGTGCATCCAGGTATTCCTGAGCACCGAGAGGAGCCTAGTGAAGTCGGCTACTATTCGCCAATTGTAAAAATCGGTCGAAGTTGCCCCAACCTACCCTAGAAGCCGAGTCTGAATAAATAAAACATTTTTTTCGGACCCAAGTCTCAATAGATAAAACCCATATATTTGGACTCGAGTCCGAATAGATAAAAAATCTAATCGGATTCAAGTCTGAATAGAGCTGGCCATAAAAGAAAACAGTAACAATAAACATTGTAATACAAACTGCATTGACATTGTCATTTCATTATTACAGCCTGCAGTTATGAAGATGCCCAGTTATAGTAAATAGGCCTACTAACCTCCAAGAAGAATGAGTATGCTAGGATGCTCTTGTTAGTCTTGACCTACATCTAGATCTAATTCTTGCTTTCAACTTCGGTGCCCAACCTTTTAGATTCAACTTTAATTTGTCACTTGTGGAATACCGTCCATTGTGCGATTTGAGAAGGCTATAAAACTAAAACTAGTCTAGATTAGAATCTATAACTAAAATCTAAAGGCCACCAATAGAATAACTCATGATCCGCTATTCTCACCCCCACCCCAGTGTGAGCATGAGTCGAGCCATGTTCTTTAAAAAGTTTTAAAAATTAAGGCTAGATCTAATCTAGATCTATAATTGCGAGGACCCGTAGGCATCCATATATGCGTTGCTCTTGACATTTCGTCCTTCCATAAACCATAGATCTAGATCTAGCTCGGTTGTTGCTGTTTTCTTTTTTTGTGTGAGTGGGTTTTTTTTCACTGTTGTTAACTATTCATGGTGTGAAATGGCCTTCACCTAGCCCATTAAATAAACTAAACCTGAAACTTACCTCTACAACTTAAAACTTATTCTCTGTGCTGTTCTGTGGGTGTGTGTCTGTGCTATAGGCCTACTAGGGGATAGGGGGGTGAGAATAGCGAGATATAGGCTATTCTCACAAGCGGATAATTAGAGAACGACAACTAAACGGCATAGGCATATATTTATAGTAACAGCCATCTTGTTTGACGTCACTGAGGGATTCCCAGAACTGTTCGGTTCGGTTGTCTGTGATTGTGCAGCACCCTTCTTCCGCACAGATTGATTCTGATACTATACACAACATAAATTGAGAAGAAGAAGACTAAGAGTAGGCCTAAGTCAATTTGGATAGACTACGAAAACAAGTTCAAACAAAGTTCAATGACGCAGTGCAAATGATCGACAGTTTAGATCTGGATTGTTTCTTATAAAGTTTTGAAGGCACAAGACATTAAGCACATTTTACAAGAGATTGGACTCAATAAGACGCTAAGCTGCAAAAGGAGTAGAACTAGATCTATAAGGGGAAGGAGCTTGGAAACTGCCCTGGTGCAAACCGCACGCTATGCAAAATCATCACTAGATTAAGCCAGTATATTCTCGGAAGTGGCTATCCTCACCCAGGGTGAGAATAAAAATACGATCGACCTCTCACCACGGGTGAGACTTGCCTCCGTTGGCTATTCTCACCCGGTGTGAAACAAGACCTGTTTTTCCTAATTTCGGAATGCTTTCTATCGGTGTAGATGATCAAATGGATAAAAGCAAAGAAAAAATTACGTCATAGCACAAAAGTAAGCTAATTTGATCATCTACAAAGATGCTATAGCTATTTCACTTTTCGAATCGAGCCGAATTACGCGGGTCGCCATTTTGTTTGGCCGGCTCTATTTCTCCGAACGTTCAGGAAAATAAACTTGAACTCTATTTCTCCGAACAGTTTCCGTTCTCGAGATTTGTTGATAAAATAAGCGAATGGAGTGGCCCGTGTGTGTGTGTGTGTCATGTGTGTGTGAGTGAGTGTGCATATGTGTGTGTGTCTGTCAGCGTGTGTGTGAGTGAGTGTGCATGTGTGTGTGTGTGTCAGCGTGTGTGTAAGGTGTGAACGAAGGATTTTAGTTTTTGCTGGGTGACTAAATAAATGCAAAATAGGTTACTGCCAAGGTCGATCACTCTTTTTTCTCGCAGTACCTTTTGAAGGTATTTTCAAATGAAGTATAGTCCGGGAACGTTGCCCCAACCACAACTGAAGTATCTGAATATTCTAACCACGGCGCACCGGCAGTGGAATTTTAGTTGCCGCGGGGGGTTCCCCGCTGGGCGCCTTATCACGTCGGGGTCACGGGGGTCAGCTCCCTGTCGCCGCTCTGTCTGGGCCGACTTAATTTTTGGTACTTTTCAACGTACAATTTAAGGTGTATCCTTGTATTTATGGTAATTCTCATTTAGTGCACCCAAAGCACGCATTTCTGCTCTTGAGACTAAAAAAAGAACGGACGTTGTAACTTGTCTGGTTATTTCGTTAGACACGCTGGAGTCAGCAATGCTAAATTGTAATTTTTTTGGGACTAGCGTGAATTAAATAAAATCAATATAAAAAAAACGCATCGTCAAAATCTGTCGAACTTTTGGAATATGAACGACATAACATTAGTGCA